TATTCATCGTCTGGAATTGTTTAAAGCCCTTTGAACAGTTTTCAGTTTGTACTGAAAGTGTCTTTTGGACCTTGAACCGTTTGGTTCCCACTGAAGTGCATTATATGGAGAAAAAAGCTGGAATGTTTTCATCAAAAACCTTAATTTCTTTTCGACTGAAGAAAGAAAGACATGGACATCTTGGATGACATGGGGGTGAGTAAATTATCAGCAAAAGTTTTCAAAAGTGCACTACTCCTTTAAGTTAAAGGAGAGCTCCGGCGCAAAATGAACCTTTGGTCTAATAAAACATTGCTACCTAGTCGACCGTTCTCTGAGATTTGTTTGATAATCGAATTTAAAGAGTTTTATTTCTAAAAACTTTTTGGAGTATTATGCTAGTATATAGGGGGATTAAATAAGTAAAAAGAAATTCTCTTTACATTCGATTATCATGAAAACAAATCTCAGAGAACGGTTGACTAAGTACCAATGTGTTATCAGACCAAAGGTTGATTTTGCGCCGGAGTTCTCCTTTAAATAGAAAATGACAAAAGCACATTATATTATATTATACAAAATATTAATTTGAAATATTAGTAAATACTATAATAGTATTTTTTATTTAGATTATCATATTAAAATTACACTGATTCAGGTGTGAAATATGACAGCATTATCTTTACAGACTTTGTGAGCAACACTTTCTATTCCACCAAAACCGGTGGTGTTTGAAATAAAACAATACATTTGGTGTCTTGAGCTTTTTGTTCAGTAGAGAAATACACTTTTTTTTTCAATTAGAAAGTCTGTAAAAGCAGTAAAAAATACCTTTCCATAAAACACAGAGTCTATCAGTGTCGAGACGGCCAGTGCAAGAGCCCTGCACAAATGATGGAAACATTCATGAACTAACAAAGATTATTGCTGGTATCCAAACTACAAGTGAAAACAAATGCAACAAATGCAGCGTACGCAATGGGAATGCATCGCTGTGTGATGAGCTTCAGCTTGTTCTGTTCCCCACAGAAATGATAGAACAGCAGAGGAAGCCAGACGATCAGAGCTGTGGGACGGATGACTACGGCCAAGGACACCAGACATAAATACTTCCAGCTAAAGGAGAGAAATGAAAAAGTTTCACCAATGAGTATCTGAAAGGTTTGGGCAATCACTATAGTGTTGTAGAGATGCATGATTAATGGTTAAACGATCGCAATCTTATTCCTAAATGACAACTATTCGCTGTCAATTAAAGGCAGGGTAGGCAAGCTTATGCTGCGTTCACGCCAAAACTATAGAGCTATTTACATCCTTTGATTCAGATTTATGCATTTCTATCAACGCTGAAATGAAACTACATCAGTCAGGTGGTACAAGTCAGCACTCTACAAGTTGTTTACTTTCTTTGAGGCATGAGGTGATTTAACACTGTCTCATAACGCTGTGTGCAGTGCGTGTTCATGTGTTTTGGAGGAGGCATGGGTTGGGAGATGCTCTGAAGGGATGGTGGGATCTCATACTTTTAAAGCTAGCTTGCTAGCCTTTCAAACATTGCCTACCCCACCTTTAAACCTTTGACAGGTACAATCACAGCGATTCAAATTTGCATTGGTGCGGAGGGCAGTTGTCATATAAAATTATGACACAGCGTCACAAATAGTCTTTTCAACCACACGGTATCAACATTTCTGTGTTACAAACTGATCACAGAAATTCAAATGATCACAGAAGTATTGGGATATAGGTTTATACTATAGACCATTTCACAAGATGTAAACAACACTGGTCCAGAAGCACTTCCTGTTTCAGTTTGTAACTGTTTTCTTTATTTCACATGTAAAGAAAACATCTTAAAGATGTTTGTTTAACTTTTTGATTCAGTTTTAAATGTTCTGTTGGTTGTTTTTTATCCCAGCTTTTATGTAGTGTTAAAAACCTGAAACAGGAAGTGCTTCTGGACCAGTGTTGTTTACATCTTGTGAAATGGTCTATAGTTCAGATATAAACACTGATGTTTATGATAGCGATCAAAATTGAGCTTCAAATAAAGATTGTATCCATTACATTGTTACACCAGTAGGTGACAGCAAGCGACTTAAAAATGTATTTGTCATTAAATCATCCATTCAAGAGATTCGTTTAAAATTCATCTAGTGACTCATTGAATAATTCAGTCAAAAATAGATATTTTTTTTTATCATTTAAATTAAATATATATATATATATATATATATATATATATTTAAATAGACTGCAGCAATTAACATCTTATCGAAACCTCTAGAAAATTATGTGTTGTTTTGGGAGAATCGTGATCTCTTTATAAAACAAATAAATCATGTTTCTCAATTTATCCAGAATCGTGCAGCTCTAGTGTGTAGATAAGGCACTAAATTATGCACCTGTTGTGCATTTTGGAGCCGGGTAACGGGTAAAAGCCAAGTGCCAGGGTGGTCAGAACCGTTTCCATGGTGTTGGTCAGAGTCCGACTGCAGCAGTACCAGGTGAACCATGAACACAGCTGACAGAAACACTAAGAAAACACAGCAGAACTGAGTGGAGCGAACACAAAGCATTCAATCTTAATGCATTGTTTGAGTCTCTGCTTGATGATTATCACAACAGGAACATCATCTTACCGTCCATTTGGCTACATCTGGGGTTTCCCACTGCAGGACGAGGTGGTAAAGCTTCACATCAGCATATGCAGCCAGCAGTGCCTGGAAAACACGTGGCAAAAACACCTGCAAAAACAGGTAAACACGTTAAGGAAACATTCCACTTGCTGTCAATATAATACACTGAAGTCTTACCAATAGATACGCTGTATCATAATTCATCAGATCCAAGACTTTATACATCACAGCGAACATGAGAGGATAAGAGTATCCTCGGATGCCTTCCTTCCATTCCCAGGTCTCGTAGCCATAAGTGAGAAACAGGTTAAGGATTTCATTTACAGCGAATGTTTCTAAAGTATTGTTCAAACTAAACAACTTTTTTTTTTTTTTTTTTTTTTTTTTGCACAAGCAAGGATATCTGAAGACCATTCGATGGGAAATCTCAAGGGACTGCCAGTACTCATCTGGGACGAAGCTGGTCTGAACAAGGAGGCAGTTGAGCAGGCGGAATATGACAGCGAAAACTGAGACACCGATGCCAAAGAATTCTGCAGAAATGACAGTTAGCAGGTGCAGATAGCAGAAGCAGGGTCACTGATGGCCAGTGTAATGCCGATTAATATAACGGATGTTTTACTTTAGTTTAGTTGTAGCATTATTTCTGTAGATTTGAAAATAATGCTTTTCCCCATTATTGTTTTTTGCCAAGAAATCTCAATGTATTATATCAGTCATAGGAGAGAAACAAGCATAGAAGAATAAGGCTATATGAGAGGTGGTCTTCATTCCAGATTTCTCTTTTCCCCATTTCTCTATCCCCTCACCCCATCATGCCAGCTGTAAAGGGTTTCAACATGTTTTTTCTCCCTCACCCCTTCATGCCTTTATGCTTCTCTAAGTCAGTACAGTAAGGATTGAGCTTATACACCACTGAGTGACTTTCAACTTCATTGTAAGTAAGGTAGTAAAACATGTTGCTTATGTTTAAAAATGGAACGTATACCTCGTGCTTAAACATGGTACAATCCACTTTCCACATTAAGAAACTATTCCTCGGTCTATACATTTGTGGTACATTTGCATCAGTTGAAAAACATTCCTCTCCTTGTAAAGAACATACCAATTGTACACATTTGATGCATCTTCGTCATCGGAACATCTCTGCTCAGTGAACATTGCATTGCACACATACCTCTAAGCAAAAAAAGTAACTCTCCCTGCTCCCCTCCCTGTGTCTAAAATATGATCCTTAAACATGTGTCCATGCAATCTACATTCTCCATTTTAAACGTCATAAGATAATACAACTGATTATGATTACTAATAAAGAATAATAAAACAGATACATAATATTAAAGAATTAAATTATATTAAAATATTACATTTTAGTGTTCAATTTCTATTTCTTATTCATTCTTAATGTGAGTTTCATTGGATATTTATTATGGTTTAAAAAAAATCATTCTGTGCAAGAAAAATTATCCTTTATAAATATTTTACCATTAAATGCAATTAAATAAACATATGATAAATAGAATTTAAATAGCCTACATAATTATTAAAAAGACAATTTTTATTTTTTATTTCATTTTTTTTATTTTTAAGGATAATATACTTACTTCAATATCTTTAGCATCTCAAAATGTAATTTTTCATGTTTATATATATATGTATATATATAACTATGAGCGCAAAACTGTCTACTTATGTAAAGTTTATTATTTATTATTATTTTCTTCCCATTGAAACACATTTGGCTGTAAAGTGAATCTAAACCACAGTTCAGGATTCTCACCAAGTGTTTGAGGTCTCCTGTCATCTGTGCTGTATAGAATGGAGCTCCTCTTCCTCAGTCTCACTGATTCACATGAGGATTTGTTCTGTTTGAAGCGCTCTCGAATCTTTTCCATGTCTCCACATTAACCTCAAAGGGGCTCGTTAAAATGTTCAGCATTTTAACTCTGACAGTGAATGTTCATTTTCTGGCGCTTTTACTGAGTGTTTTCTGCCTTAAATGTGGAAACTAGATCCATTTCCGTGTTTGGGTCATGGTGTCCCATAGCAGTACATACATAGATGCCTCATTAAGTCAGCCATATTGGAGCGGTCGGTGAGCAATCGACTGAGCGTCTGCAACATTTTGTTAAACCAACACAATACAACAAGACGAAGACATCAGCTGATACGACATTAAAAAGTTACCATCGTTAAAGTAAAACTATTTAATAGTTAAACACAAACCAAGACATTCTCACAAGTGAGAATGCACTCTGACCGTTGGAAAGAGGCAGGCGCACGTTGTGTCTGGAGGGGTGCAGTTTGCTATCTACGTATAGACACCTATGAGGGCGACAGTTCCAGCGTTACCTCTGGAACAGATCAGAACAGAATAGATGGCCCTGCTCTGGAATATGTTATAAGAACATAAATGCATGTTTTGTAACGCTTAATTTGTAATATGTATAATAATTTTATGTTTATTTAAATATGATTCGTGCATCATTAAATGGTCTCTGAAACATTATTATGAATGTAGTTTGAAAAAAGGCGGAAATGTACACGTCGCATTTGGACTGCGTGAGTTGCCGTAGTCGCTCGTATGTCCCCGTATGTCCTTGGCTTACATGTGTTTTAACCTTTTTTATTATTTTTTTTTTACAGTCTTTGGTTGTAACTGTTCACGTCTGACAAAACTCTGTTAACATTTGGAAAACATTTAAAAAAGGGTGAGTAATAAAAATAGTAAACGTTAGACATTAGAAAATTAGACATGGTAGAATGTTATTGTTCCTGCGTAAATTCATATGTGAATGTCATCTACAATCATGCTTATGCACTGTAATGTACAGATTGTGCAATTATATATCAGTAATGCAAAATTCTATAAACAGCAGCTAACAGAAGATCTGATAAACAATATGTGACTACTGAATTTCCTTTTTTCCATTTTAGGAATGGGGTGTTAAATGGGTTGTGTTCCTTCATAACATAAGATCATGTTTGGAAGACGGATTCCCTTTAATCAGATAGCAGTTGCTACTCTGGTTGGAGTGGTGGGAGGTGTGTATATATACAGGCCTATATTTGAAGCACCCAAAAAACCTCCAATTGCACCAGATCAAGACCTCAAACCAGACTCTAAGGAGCAGAAAGCGGAAGCTACCCAACAAGAAGAACAAGCAAATGCATCTGCAACCAAAGACTGATGTTGAACAAGAGTTTGTGTGAGAGTTTGAATGTTAAATGCTTGTTATTTTCATATACTCTGTAAATGACCACTAAAAAGGTTCTAAATAAAATGCCTTATTGTCACTGAAAATAGGTCATCCATAAATGAACAGAATGGCGTAGATTTTGTAGATTTGTGTGTGTGTGTGTGTGTGTGTGTGTGTGTGCTTATTTGCAGTGACATTAAGCCACTGCATACTGTATTGACACAAAATGTGTTCATATAAATGGCTTTTTTTTACATTTGCAATAAAACTAGCAAAGTTGCATACCAAATACAATAGTATTTATACAATAGCATAGCTATAATATAATATATAATTAGCTTAAAGTTATAGTTTAGCCAAAGTTTGAATTCTGTCATTGTTTACTTTTAGATTTGTTTACAGGGCCAGTGCACATTAATAAACATTGGTAGATGTAAATGTGCCCAAATTTACCAAAAAAATACACATTTTTATCTGTAGACGCTTGACAGAACGTTTAAAAAGTCACCCTAAAAACAAAGCATCTTATATTAATAGACATAAGATATATATTACCAAATAAAAAAATACAAGTACATGATTTCACACGGATATCATACTAAAATACATTTTTTGTCTAAACATATATTGTTACAAAAGAGTTAAGAAAATTTTGTTCCAAACATGTATGAATTTCTTTGTTTTGTGATACGTAAAAGATTTTGAAGAATGTTATGAGGCCCCACTGACTTCGTTCACTGATAGAAGTTACCTTTGACATAATCTTACCACCAGATGTCGCCACACACACACACCACACTTACGGCTCTGAAAGGGTTCCTCTCCTGTTGCACTTTTGGAGCGTGTTTTAAATGCAAAAACCAAAGCCTAGTACTAGTTAAATCAATAGACTCAGAAAGTCTGTGTTCTTAACAGGAGTGGCGCAAACGAACGCATTCTACAATGGCGAAGGCTTTAACCTCATGAATATTTAGAACGCAAGTGACGTTCGTCCGATAGTACATTATGATTGGCTGATTTTATAGTAGAGGTTGGGCTCATAATAATAATGACTTTATTGATGGGGTGGTCGCTCAAGGCTCCAGGAAGATCTTTAAGCAACGTCAGGCCTTACCTAATTAATAATTATGAGCTAAACGGATTGCGCTGCTGCACGGGAAGTATTGCGTCACTGAACGGCCGCGTACACACGCACTGCTTCATGTAGGTGTGGGAGCAACTTTAGGAAACAAAGTGTCCATCGCTTCAAAAGTATCACACATTTTCTACTTGTTCTCCGTTGGTTTAATATTTTCGAAAGACCTTTTAAAATCCAACGAGATCAACAGACGTTCGGGTCACTGTCCTGGTAAGTACATGTATTAGTTTCTCTTCAAAGGGTGATAATAACAGTTTGATAATGTCTTGGCAACACCTTTATTTTAAAATCTTACAATTTGGCTTTTTGATAATGTATTTTTGTTTTGACTAAACAAGACACGCAATATGATATCTAATGATTGCACTTATAAACATCTTACGTGTGTCCTACTCGTTCTGCTTGTCATAATAATGAGTATTTAGTGATGGACAGCTGCCGTTCATGGGTTTGAATTAACTGTACACGCATGTGGCTCTATCCTGGATGAGATGTAACTTTAGTCATCTCAAACACACATGATGCATGATTATGACCTAAAATTATAATCTGGTCAGAGAGGAAGAATTGTCCTGGGAATTTACCTGCCTCACTTGGGGAAATACATTGCTTTACTCCCATATCAGGTTACTTGTCAGGAATGGTTGGTTAAGGGATAATTTTTCGTTCTGAATGATCAATTTTCCTTTCTTCCTTGCTTAACTTTGGAAATATTCTTAAGTAACTGTAAGACAAAGGCCTATGTTTGTGACTCAGAATCAATCTATTATGTGTGGAATGGATTGATTTACCATGGTCACAGTGTTTTTCTGAATTTTACACCCTTTTATTTGTAACACAGAGCAAAATTTCCCTCCAGAATTAACATCCTTATGTCATTCCAAAACCTGCTATTTTCTTTCTTCATTTTTTTACTTGCAAAATGTTCTGTTTTTAGTTAAGGTCATGCAGTAAAACTTATTGATAGTTTAATGATCTTTGGTCACCAGACATATTCAATATCCAATTACTTTGATGTCACTTCCATCAAACTTGAGACATCTTAATGCACCATATTTGAAGGTTTGCAACTTTGAGAATTACAGCAAAAGGAATATACAGCAGAAATACATTTTTAATAGACTTAAATATCAGTCAGTTCCACACACAAATCTCTCATATAACTTACGAAGACTTGGAATATAGTACATAAGTCATATGGACTACTGTATTTTTAGATATTGACAGCCCCGTTTATTTTTAATGCATGTTGGCAAAGTATTCTGCTAAATGTTTTGTTTTGCGTAGCATGAAAAAATATTTGGAATGTGGAACAAGAAAGTGAGATTTTTGGTTATATTATTCCTTTAAGCATCTCAAAAGAGTAATCTATCCTCAGAAGAACTTCCCACAAAGCTCAAATCATTTAAACTGGCTGGCTTATCATTTTTTTCCTCTGTTTTAGAGAAAGCAAATTAAATGAACCTTGGCTTGTGCGTGTGTGTGTGTTTTTTAAGCGGGGTCTTGGCAGGGCTGGGAATCGAGGGTCACATGACAGGATGCCAAAAGCACATGAGCACCAGCTGATGGTTATTAGATAAGCCTGATGTTAAAACTTACAGTTCACAAAACACCAAAACGGAGCCTTTATATAAGGTATGGCAAAAATCACTCTGGACACTTCTATTCAATTGCAAAATTGATTTATTTCTTTGTTTAGTTAATGAAGATGTTTTCAGCCATTTGGACACATATTTAAGCCTGTAAAGTAATTTCAGATAGCTCTATTGGTATAGTACGATTTGCATCACTATTGCTTGTCTAAGTAATAGAGTTGAGCTTGTGTCGGCCTGCAGCGCTTGTTTCAGACATGAATGACTTCTCAAATCATGTGTGTTGTTGAGGAGAGTGTACTGCTTTTACTTCACTAAGTGACCCACCCGATTAACCTTTTTCTCCCTCCATAAAACCGGTTAAAAAATCCCACAGGCACGCATTGAAGGAGGGATTCTTAATAATAATAATACAAGGCCCATTAAAAATATTAACAGATAGCCTTTTGATTTTAATATTGTAGGCCTATATAATAAATGCTTAAATTAATATTAAACTTAGATTAATAAATGAAAAGTACTTTTCGTTGTTAGTTAATGTTAACAAATGGACCCTTAGGTAAAGTGTTAACCATATTTTGTACTGTACATGCAACATATTTTAATGTAAAAAAAAAAAAAAAATCAACAAATTAACTATTGATTGACACTGTACAGAAGCCCTGAACCGCAACGTAAAAAAAAAAAAAAAAATCTAGCATTTTGAGATTAGAGCGGAAAAGTTTTGAGATTAAAGTCGAAACATTTCAAGAATAAAGTCGAAATATTTTGAGAGTACGAGAATACAGTCTTCCGTTGAAGCTGCGTGTGTGCTTGCCATTGTCTCACATTGCCGGTGCCGCACACACAGGCATTCATAAAAGTGCATAGCGAGTGATTCACATTGTGTGTGTGTGTGTGCGCGTTTGTGTTTTGTTTAAACAAAAGGAAATTCAACAGGTGCCAATCTACCAGCAATAGGCTACCATTATCGAACGTTATAAAATATACTGCGCCGGAATAGACTTTTTAGCCTATAGGAAAACCAACCCGGAAAACAATTATCAGAGTGGATGGCGAAATCCAGCTTGAGTGAATGAATGAATGGGGCATTTATATGGCACTTTTAGATGTCTACTAGGCCTACACTCAAAGGGATTTACAATCATATCAGAGAATTGGTTATTAAGTGGTTATTAAATCTGAGGAAATCACAGGATCCGGCTAAATGATTGGATCCAGAATGATGCACTCAAAATGTATCCAGAACGTATTTACGTTGAAGAGGGAGACAGAAAGGTTACTGTTGTGTTCTCCCAGATGTTGCTTAGATGAGCACGAAAGCACCTCAAAAACACTGCCACTAGCACCTATGTAGAATTTTGTTGAAAGCCCAGATAAAAGTAAAAAGCTACTTTTTTGTGTTGATCCATGGAAGTTCGACTTCACTAGTGCATTTCTTTATACACACACACATGCGCTCTGAGCTGGTGCATGCGCACTGTTATGAATGCACACACTTCTATGGAAGACTGTATTATCATAATGTTTTGACTTTATTCTCGAAACGTTTCGACTTTAATCTCGAAATGCTAGAATTTTTTTTATTTTTTATTTATTTATTTATTTATTTTACATTGCGGTTCAGGGCTTCCGTAACACTGCATCCATTGTGTCCACCATGTTTTTCCACTGACATGCCTTCAACTTGGAAACTTCAGAAAATCCAGTTTCCCCAACTTTGTGGTGTTGTTCATGTGCTTTAGACTTTTAAATACAATGTTCCTGACATGACTTTTTTTTTCTTGCCAGAAAGAAAGAAACCATCCAGAACATCCTTAGAGTCACTCTTAAGTAGTTCAAAATATTAATTTTCTTAAACTTAAAGGTTATAGTTAAAATGTGATTATAGTTGTTTTGCAATGGCTTCCAGGCCGAAGAAAACTCCTTCTTATGTTTCTTGCGTCAGGTCAAAGGTTATGAGCTTCTGTAGATCTGCATAGTTATTTTGTCTTTCACACGTACAGCTTGAGTTGAAAAGAGGGAAGTGGACAATAAAAAGAAAAAAAAAACTTGTTAGAGGTTGACTGTTGGTGAAGAAACTCTGGTGTGAAATGCAGAAGAGTTTTCTGCTCCTGGATTAGCGGCTCTCTCCTCTAGCACTGGGTGGTACTCTGCTGGCAATGTTTTATCTCTGTTTCTCCTGTTCTTTATCCAGGCTTTCATCAGGGCTGTTTTGGTTGGACGGGAAGCACAACTCAAACTCAGACATTTAGCTAAGCCATTTCACAAGGCCAGTGATTGTTTAAGCACTTGTGTTGTGTAGATGTGTCTAAGCCAAATGAAAGCGTCTGTCTGTCTTCAAAAGTTACTGTAGTGTGAAGTGAACATCACAAACATGTCAGTTGATGCAGTCGAACACTCACCATTTGTGTCTAGAACTGATTCTACATTGTTTGTGTGTTCATGCTTATATAGCACATAAAGATAAGGTTGTTTTTTCAAATCGGTACGCTTTCCAGATGGGGTGTCACTATTCTCCAAATCCTCGATTCGATTACATTTTCGATTCTAAGGTCACGGTTCGATTAGACCCAACTGAGTTTCATTTTCTGTATCTTTGCAAGAAATTAATTTCATCATTCAGTATTTCTCAATTAACTTGTTTTAGATCATTACAAATCCTTATTTAAATTTTTCTTTTCTTATTTTTCGAATAAAAATCGTTTTTGTGTCACTACCCTTCTAATATGCAACATGGGTCTAAAATGACCCGTATTCATGTTTCTTTGATGAATATTTGAAAGAAATGTATTTTGTCATTTATTAATCCAGGTATTCATTAAATATCTTGTTTTTGATATCCCCACATCATTATATTTATTTTATTTTCTTACTTTATAAACAAACATGTTTTTTTTCGTATATCTATATCAATTTTACACACATGGGTCAAAAATGACCCATATAGGAATTTTTGATACTTATAAATATATTTACTGCAGAAAACTATTCACCTGCCACACATTTCAAAATTCAACATGGCTGCTTGTGCTTTTGTATATTTCATGCATGTAAGTTTTATTTAAAGGTGGAATACCTAAGATTTTTGCATTAAAATATACCAAAATCACAAGGCCAGTGTTATATATTTAGTTAAGATGATAACTTACAATATTCCAAACGTTTCAAACAATGTTTAAATCGCGAGAAAATTTATATTTTAACCAAGGAAACGGGGCGTGTGAGCAGGGGTGAGCTGGGAGTCGCCAGTCAATCGCGTCATATCCGCTTACCTCGGTTTCCGCTCATACTACGTGTAGTCCTGGACAAATGCGGTAGTTGTAGTTGTGCGTTAGCGTCTATCAAGCAACAAACGTCAGCTTGTTGTTTCGCGCATTTGTTATGGAATGGAGCACAATTATTCTTTTCATTTATTCTCGGAATGTGAACTGTTGGCTGTAAAGGGGGTCGCACACCGGACGAGAAGCGCCGCGCCACGTTTAGGACAACTCCACTGAGCTGAGCTTCTCGTCCGGTGTGCAGCCCCCTTAACGTTAATTTTGTGAAACTAAAGCTGTGGTTGAATACTTACACGACATGAAAAGATGCGTCAAATGTACATGATTTTTTATTTTT